TTCTGGCAAATAGCACAGTCGGACACCTAGGAACTGAGATGCAGCAAGTTGGGTAAACTGATTAACGTGCTACCCCGAATAACCCGCAGCCCCCAAGGCATGAGAAATTTCCCCCCATTCCATGGTGGTACCACGTTAGGGGGGATTTGGATTATATAGTGGTATATGGTCTTAGGCAAGGCAAGAAAAACTCATGTTGCAAGGCGGGGATACTCTGTGGTTCCTCATGCTTAGTCAAATACGTACATGCATACTATATATATATGTATATATACATACATATACGCACAACAAGTCCCTCTAAACACTCATATACCCCTTATAACCCCTTGAACATCAGCCCTAATTTTGGGGAAGCCCTAAACCCTAACACCTCCTAGGATTTTCCAAGAACAAGTGTTGGGGTGGTTGTGCCATGTTTGTGCAAGAGGTTCTCAAGCTCAGAGAGGTAGATCTCCCCCTCGTAATAATGATACACCCATCCCCCGTGTTTTCCATTCGGTTCTCCATTATTTTAATCATCTATATCCCTATCAGCATCACCACCATCAGCCTTTATAATACGTAGAAACCCTTATGCAAACACCAAAAACCCGCTGCCCTATCCCTATAGAGTCATGCCAAATTTAATGTATGCCAACAAGGTTGGGGGCCAAAGACCTGCTTTCGACAGCTGGTCTATGGGGTTCTGTATAGGGGGCTTATGGGGGGTATGTAGGGAAAACATCAGCTCAAATAGAAACGGTGTTCTGTGGTAGTTCTTATGGATTTGGGTTTTGAGAAGTTAGGGCTCCGTTTCTGAGGCTTCCTCTTTTAGGGGCTTTACTATCTGGTAAAATGAAGGTTGGACCCCATCTTTTGGACACACTTAAGCATTGCCCCACTTTCCATGCCAGTGATGAAGCTATACTGTTTTCATGTCATTCTACATTTTATTTTCCAGTTGGCTCTCCATTATTGGGTGCTAACACCCCTAAACCCAAAATATTAGTGCCCATTCTCTTTTCCTTCCCCCTATATTCTCCTTTGTCGCATGCCCAGGAGCCATGAGCTCAGTGTACTTGCTCACCAGCAGTTTGGCCAGCATGGATCGCCTTGGATTTTGGGCTTGGGGTTCCGGGTTTAGGGGTCATGCAGCCATATCAGATTGTACATCGGTTAACATGAGAAATGAATGTCTACCCCATGCCTCGGGGTACTGCCCCCACCCTGTAACAGTCTATACTAGGGCTAATATGAAGGGCTATAGTCATAATTCAAATGCTATCCAACTGTTGCTGCGTGGGGGCAGTATCTAATATGCCTGGAATGTGCTTCGAGGACAATGACACACAATTCCCATGGGATTCTCCACCGTTCTAATCCCCAAACCCTCCATATCCCTATAGAACCCCTGCAATCTCTTCAAAGTGTTTGCTTTTTACCAAATCGGAAACAGTGAGATGCAAGGTTTCATATTCAATGGATCTTCTCGATGAGCTCATGTGGCAGGGCCACAGTTCCGAGACAGCCCACAAGCCACGGAGCTAAATCATGCTCACAGAGCCACGCAAACTCATTTGGCAGATCTGGGGCCTGAATAACTACTTCGACATGGCTTTGGGGTACCCATATATTATCCAACTGAAGCTATATCTAAACCTGGAGAAGGGACATCTTGTTTTTCACGCTTTTTGCATTAATCTCTGTCGGCCCATCAGGGGGGATGGGAGGGTTTCAAGAGGACTAGCAGCCAAATAGAACCGCATCCTGGAGTTCGCGGCTTGAAGCTATGAGGGAGGATGGTTCAGTGGCAGCTGAACGGGTGAGGTTGCAGTCAGGTATATTTGGATCAGATGATTAGACGACATTGTTATCTCTGACACTAAGCCGGCTTCCTTTCTGAAGCGAAGTGCGCACTGTAAGTGCCAGACGCATGGATCCATTTGTAAATCAACTGGTCGTGCACTCTGGCAGAGCTTGCCTGCTTTGTTCATTCCTCTTGTGGTTCTTCGTCATCTAGCTTGCGGCTCTTGACGAAATCAAGACGGGGAAGCCAAGACCTAACACTAGAAAGGCAGGAGGTTGCCAACAGGGCGCTCCACATTGACCCAACGCCCCTCCCCTTACTACATGGAACTACCCCCATGGAGGGAAGTGCAAAGACCCCTCAAAGGGGTCTATATCATCAAGTTCCACGCCAGTTTGCAGGACGGTAAGCCCTACGCGCCGTGTGCCTGAAAGGTGAATTTTGTGCCCAACATCTCCAGGCGAAGGCTTGTCACCTCTGAGACTACAGACCTGAGTTCTGTGCTGTTAGGCTTAGGGGATTTGAGGCTCAGGATTTCAGAGTTCGGAGTTTGGGATTTAGGGTTTGGGGTCGGGATATGGTGGGTTGTGACAATCTCCATCTATGCCTATTGGGTTCAGGCACACAAAAAAATGCACGGTGTAACTCAATTTAACTCTGACCAAGACCCTGAGGTGGGCATTACTGTCCCTTGCTTTTGTGATGAAAAATGGATCCCTCTTTGGGAATTCAAAGTACGGACCCCTGTCATTTAGGGTATGAGGAGTTTAGAGGGAAAGCAACTTTGAGGCAGTTCCACATCACACAAAAACGTAGACACTTTTTGCACTTTTGCGGTACTGTCTCCCAAGTACATGTTGCTCGCTGCCACCTCACGCAAACTTACTATCTGAAGTGTGCCACTGTTCACCCCGGAACCCACAAAGGCGCAAATCTCCCTGGCTGAAAAAGAGCTGATCATTCTTGTGGCCCTGGGCCTACATCTCCCTTCCCAAAATGGTGGACAATTACGTTTGTACCGTACAAAACAATGCTGTGTTTTTTTCATATGTTGGCAGGGCTGGCGGCTAGACAAGCGCAAGATGAGAAAACTGTAAGTAAACAATGACGACATTGATCAGGTAGAACTTGCCGGGGAGTTCCTCAAATCATGGGCTCCCACTATAACCCTAGCTTCCCCCTTCAATTAAGGGGGGGCCTTGTTGATCTGTGCTCAAGTGGGCTGAGGCATTTGTGGCTGGGTGCACGAAAGCTGAATAAGCACGCAAAAAGTGGATCCCTGTACTTTTGGCAGACTTTTCACATCTGGGTGGTTGTCAAAATTATGGTCCCCTTTTGGATCCCCATTATANNTAATTTTGACAACCACCCATCTACTGATTGCTGAGATCCAGGCGGGTAGTTGCAGTACCACCAGCATCCCCACAGGTGGAGGTTGCGAAACTTGGTCGCCAGCACTGCTGCCTGACGAATCGCATGTTACCGGACCCAAGCAGCTCATGGTTCCACACGAGAGGCCGTCCCAATTCTAACTTATGGTGGTCTGCAAGAATCAGAGCTGACTAACCCTAAAACCACTAAGCTGCCGAGAACCCTGCAAAAGGCAGTCAGCATGGCCACTCGTTTTGTCCGCTTTGCCCAAGACATCTCTTGCGAACACTTTAAAGTGACCCTCTTATCCGTCTTATCCCCTATTGCAGCTAGTAGAATTTCATTCCGGAAGTCCTCCTGCGCACCCCATGTTGAGAGCTCCCCAGAAACCAACAAGGATACAAGACCTTTCATAGCATGCGAAGAACGAAGTAGCATGCGGAGGGATCTTCATTGCTCTTGCTCCTGGACCTGGGAGATTCGTCCCAAATTGGGGCACATGCCTTGAGGAAACCGCGGCATGTAGTGGCATTGCAAGCGATGCTGAAGATCCCTCTTCAGGATTATGCCCAAAAACCCACCATTGCTTTCAAGCAGCACCACGTAAGACTGAGGCTTGCAGTATGAAGCTCACAGACTTAAAAGGGTGGGTTGAAGAAGTTGAGCTTTAGCTGTGGCAGGCACCTCATGCTGGTCTGTGCGGCTGAGAACCGTGAAAAGGAACTTCACGTCTGGGTTGGCCTGGCAGAGGTCTCCTGATACATTCTAAGAATTATCCATGTGCCAACTTGCTTGGATTGCACACGGGCTGAGCCTGACTTCGGAAATTTGAGGTAGCCCCTTCCATCCAAGACCATGAGAACTTGGCCCTGAGTTTCTTCAAGGTTAAATGTCTTTCTGCGGACCATCTGCGTGGTGAAGGCTCCTGCTTTTTGAGAGGACCCTGAAATACCATAGCTGTTGTTACAGATGTAAACATATACATATATATACATACATATGTGTATATCCTTTATGTACCCTTGCGGGGGCCATGACCACCCGGTAAAGCATGCTAAGCTAATCCTCCATACTTGCCCGGGGATTCGGCTGTGAGTTCATGACCTGAAGAAGCACTAAGCACACTCTTGCTGCAGTCCTAGCGCCCGCAGTTCTGCTGAGCCAACCTTACCCAAACACTCTTGGTGGGGCGTCGTGGAAAAGTTTGGGGTTTTGTGCCCATGGGTTGTTCAAGAATCAATAGAGTACTTCGCTGAGAAAACCATAGAGTTTATTATGGATGGTAACACAAGTTGAAGTCTTTGGGATCTGGGGGTTTGGATTACACAGCGATTTGTCTAGCTTCGGATCATATATGTCAGCGGCTTGGGCACATCGCTTGGATGGAGTATCCTGTACGGGCATGAATGAGGGACCACAGGTACGAGACCTGGTTAGAGCATGATGATCATGTTTGAAAGTTTTCCCTACTAATTTGAGTAGCGGAATTCTTGAAGGTGCTAGCGGCACCAAGCCAAGTACTGTTGATGCATCACGCTCCCTGGGAGCATTTTATTCGCAGGAACCCAGGGTCATGCAGGATTTGATCCATCAATCACATCCACCTGCGCTTGCTCCTTCAACAAATTCTGAGTGTACATGCCTTGCATAATGAACAGCATTGCGCAGACCAATCCCTGAAGGCCAGAAAGTCATGCTCATCAAGACTTTTGTCCCTATAGTCAGGACGTGACTACATTCGTTTTGTGGTAAACACATTAGCGGAAAGAAGGCCCCCGCTGAACAAAGGCACAGTGCTATGGTGCTGCGCTGGCAGAGCGGGAGAAGGGGCATTTTTGACCTAGCCCGCAAGAAGCTCCACAATTTCAAGGTGACCTTTCTTCAAGGCCAATTCAGAAGCCTTTTGCCTTTGGTCACGGAACTCATCGCCGAGGATGCCTCGCTGCAACAGCAAACGAACGATTTCGGCCTGGCCATGCGCAGCCGCCGCTTCTAAAGCTGCGTCTCTGTCAGCGCCAGCGTCCAACAGCAAGTGCACCACCCTCGCATGGCCCTTCTCAGATGCATCTGCGATGGCGTGTCCACCCAAATGGTCCATGAAGCTTACATCAGCACGGGCTTCCAACAACAAGCTCACAATCTCGACATGGCCAGCCTCGGCAGCGATGATTAGGGAAAAGCTGTAACCGTCTTCGTCAAGGCCGATGTCAGCGCCAGCTTCTACCAGCAATCGCACAACCTCAACGTGCCCGGCAGCAGATGCTTCCTGAATCGCGCAATCCACTTGTCGGGTTGCACCTGCACTGATGAAGAGTTGCAAAACCTCAACGTGTCCTCGCTGAGAAGCTATAACAAATGGCCGTTCAACATGATGAGGGGCCAGGTCCTTGAAGGCGTCTGTCTCGAAAAGCCATCGTATTTGCTGTACGTGGCCCTGCTCTGCAGCAAGCTCAAGCTCGGAAGCGACACTGAGCACTTTTGCCGACACGGGCAGAAGAACCAGATGAGCTTCCATCGGCATAGCTAGCATGCCCAAGTCGACACCATCTTCCAAGACACTTCCATCGTGCAAGAGCTGTTGAAGGCTCAAGGGAAAGCCATACTGTTCACACAAGTGGGCCTTCACTGTCCTGACATAAGTTTGCTGCTCCACCCGGATATCGGCCAGCTCCGCTCCAGACACCGCATGGAGGACATGGAGCATGTCAGCTAGTCAATTTCATGCCCCCCCCAAAAAAAGAAGTGAAAGCTGAAATTGCATTGGTGCCTTATGAGGATTATAGGGGGTGTGTAGAGATGTGGAATGTTGGCGAATCGCGTGTAAAAGTGTCCTGACTCATGGCTGTATCCTCCTCCCTGCCGGGGTCACTTCTGATGTTTCCCCGGGGGAAGAATGCCCCCTACACTCAAGACCTAACAAACCCTCATATGCGTATCTAGATATACATATGTATACCCAACAGCTCGAAAGGCGTCAAGAACAAACCTGCGCATGATGCATGTACAAATGGCATGGGCAAGGAACATGCAGGATTTACTGCAGAAGATTACCTCGTCTGGGCCTAAACCCGAGTTTAGGGTTTAAGGCTTCGGGGCTTCAGAACTTTAGGATAATATCATCCATCCTTGCCGTGGGTCATGCATGACAGCATGATATGGTTGCGTGGCTATATGAGGGCATGAGTTTACATCCTGAAAGAACTCCCGTCCTATGACTTTCTGTTGGGCTTTGCGCTCCCGCGCCAGTACTTGCAGGCCATAAAGCAAAACTACCAGGCCAAGTGTGCTGGCCCAGGGGAAGCATGGAACTTGAAAAGGAACATGGCATGCTGCCATCCTCTGCGCACAGCAGGCATTCCAGCTTCCGTGTTTGAGTAGAGAAGTGCAGTCCGCAACAGCTGATATTAGCATTCCTTTCGGACTCCGGTTGGGACCTAAAGCTTCAGACATATTCGAAAGACAATATGGCCAAGGCTTTGCTGTGTCTAGCCCTAGTGGGAAGGTTGATTTGGGGGGAGGGGAACTGGCTTTCAGCCAGAAGCAGAGTAGGACAGGCGTCCAACAAAAGACCTTTGTGAACCTTGCTTTTCTCTTATTGGCTCCTAGTAGGGAATAAGGGCATAAATTATATATAGGTATTACAGATGGACTATATCCCCCTCTTCCCTGCTGACAACCAGTAAGTTTTCGGGGCTGAGGGTTTATAGACTATACGCAGGGAAACCCAAGTCTGCAACCAGGTAATGTCACAAAGCATCTTCTATTTACCTGTATGGATAACACTCGTGCTTCGTACGATGCCTATGTAGACCTACACACTGTCCCACTGATCATGAATACCCCCCATTCTAGTCCCATTAGATCATGGGGGAGGTTATGGGCACGGGGAGGCTTCTTCTAAGGCCATGAAGTGGTTGCCCAAAATAAGAGGACCCCAATACAGACCCAACATATTATAATCGTTACTAAGGAGACCCCCAAAACAGGTACCCCTCATTTGAGGAAATACATATATGTATATATCGAAAAATGACCGTTATATCCCCTTCAACGGAATCCCTAATTTTGGGAAACCTCTGTTTGAGTTGACCATTTGACTCCTAAACCCTAAGCCCGAAAAAAAAAATAGACCAATATTATGAGGATCACCAAAAGGACCCCCAAGTTTGGGAAACCCCAATAGGCAGGGATTACTCTGAGCCCCTGGCACCATCACCTGCCAAGCCAAGCTGAGGGGACACCTCAAGCAGGGTTTAGGGTTTTAGTGTTTTCGGTTTAGGCCTTAGAGATTGAGATTTTGGGAATGGATGGAAAAACAAAGAACGTGAAACGGAAACTGGCCGTATATGGTGGTTTATGATTATGTTGTTGGCCCCAGGGACCCTTAGGGGATATAAAGGGTTTATCATTTATCTGGGTCCTGATGAGGGATTGTACAAACGGTTCAGGGTTTAGGGCTCTGCTCAGGGTTTTAGGTTCAGGGTTCAGCGCTTATGGTCCAGGGCTGGACGCTTATGGCTGACAGGAGGTTAGGGGAGTTTTGGGGCACGAATGTTAAGCCTTCAGGACTTGGGGTAAACCCTAAACCCTGAACCGCGCAGGCAGCTTGGGTCACAACTTCTTCCACTAGAGACACGGGCCTGCACAAAAATTGGGGCTTGCGTTTGGGATGTTTAAGGCTCAGAACTTTCAAGTCGCATCACCGTGGGAATGGAACAAAGACCTGAGAATACCGTCTTCAGTCAAGTACTGAGTGGAAAGAAGGGCGATACAAAAGGAGCTGGATCTGACCTGCTTGTGAAAATGCCCCAACGCACGTCTGCGTAATCTCTTAGGTGGACCCCCATGCAATGGTGGTATAATACCAATATGAGGGCCCAAATGTCATCACTACTATCCCTGAAAGTCACTATTACTGGCTGGGGGGTCTATCTAAGCAATCTCTATCTCGCCCATGGCAGCCTTTGGACGTTTGCCTGCCCTGGGCTTCGAACTGCTCGCCTGGTCCCCATGCGGAGAGACCTAAGTAGCTTGGCTTTGGGGCCTGTGTAATGACCTGGCTAAGGGGAATAATGGTAATGATGCTCATGGTAGTGGTAATCATGGTAATAATGGGAATGGTAATAATGGTAATGATGGTGAGAAATGTCTGGGTTTCGTGTCAGGATCCATGGTTAGTATGCTCACCACAGCGTCACTACGACTCCGAGGACGAAAGGCAGGTACAGCTATCTAGCTAGCTCACAGCCAGCCTTCCAGCCTAATGTAGACCCATGATTAATTAACCCCCTTCTGTTAAGGGCCTAAATATTGGGATCCCTATTATAATCCCTATTAAGGGGAGGGGGTTTGTTAATCAGGGGTCTGGGTTACCTACTCAACCACTGACTTCCTACATTCCGGGCTCTGTACTCTTCTTCAAATACAAACTGATCCAACTTGCGGCACCCACCCATATGTTGGTCCGTTTCACTATGCTGAGAATTGGGCAGCGCGACACCGAATTCTTTGCAAAGTGGCAGAAGAACCTCATCAAGAACCTGCTCGAAGGTCTAACGGAGGCTTGAAAAATCATCGGCCCCTGCCTTTCGGGAGGTTCCTATAGTGTTGAGGACAATTGTGTGATGCAACCTCGAGGACGGCATTGGCTGCCCCTTGCGTGCATTACGATCATTACGAACCCATGCACTTTTGCACTCTTTGAGTGGCGGCAAGAAAGGGCGATGAGCTGCTGTGAGTGTGCTGTGCTGCCTCTCAACCTACTTTTTGCGAACATCAGAAGGCAAAACAATCACAGCGTTTTGAACATCCGCGAGCTTCCCATTCGTGATCTACAGCTCAGGCAGGTGGATAAAACTTGGCAGGCACGCTCCAGTCTCTCAGACGTAACGCCACATGCGGAACACATCCCGGCTGGCTGTGTGCATGAATGGTCAGAATTATGTTCAACAACAGCCTCATAATCCAGATCCGATTTATGGTTGCGCCTTGGCGCGCCTTCCCACTCGCCTCCACCCCACTACGGTGTGGCTGGCTCAAGGATATAAAGATCTAGAAAATAATCAAAGGATTTACAGGGACATTTCGCAGGATTTTTCATACGAAATCAGACAACGGAAGGAATTCTAGTTGAAATTGTATGGTCTCAGTAAAGCTCGTCAGATGAAGGTATACAGGTCACATAACAGTTTGGATGAAGGGCTGCTTCAAGGACACCCTGGGGGAGCAGGCGCACAGAACGCACGGTACAACCATGAAAACACAGTATATTTCTGGTGAATTGAGACGGTAGGTTGTCAAAATCCTTCCAGAGCCATTCGACCTGGTCCTCAAACCCCTAACCCTAAAACCCCCCCAAGCCCTAAGAACCCAAACCCTAAAAAGTCCCTGCAGCGCACCACAAAAGGAGCATAACTTTGAATTTTGACAACCCCCCACATACACTCCCACAAGACGCAACGGCCCCACCTGCTGCGGGCTTGGAGCGGACTGATCTGAGCTGAGGTCCCAGTCGAGGAGGTTTGGCGACCTGGCTCGAGTTTACAAGGTTGAGGGTTTCTGGGTTATATAGGATTACACAGGGATAGTTGAAAATGAATCGAAACTACTATAATGGGTTATATAGGGTTTATATAGGGGGTATTTTAGGTTGGGTTGAAAGTTTGCGGATGGCTGTATGTAGTGCAAGATGTCCTCCACCTACTGTGCTGTGCAGTGGGAGCAGGTTTCTGGGGGCCCGCATGGTGAAGGCATACTTACAGGAGCCTCGTCGGAGGATTCAAAACTAGGACAAGAGATATAAGTTCTACCGCATGGTTACTTCATGCAACTTTGCTTTCCGGGGAATCTGCGAGGAACACTAAAAAGCTTTGGGAATGCCACCTGCGTGGAGAGCAAGAGAAAGGGAGCAGGGCTAAACTGCTCATCCCCGTGCCGCAAAGAAAGACGACAAACAAAACAAACTTACAGTGCCCCTTAAGTAGTTAGAATATGGGGTATATGGGAATCTGAGTATACTATACGCAAAGTCTACTCCAGCGGGGCTATAAGCCAGCAGCCCTTTGCAAATGTACACCGAATGGTTCCATGCAGAGTCTCAATTTCGACGATCACTTCGTGATGCCTCTGAACCCTATAGGCTTCTGTAGCGTCACTGATCGAGAGCCTGGTGGAGCTTCCCAGACTAGTCTTCACACCATTCAACTATGTAAGTAAGACAGACCAGAAAACTCTCAATAGAAGTACGAAGATTCAACACAATGTTGGGCGGAGCCATGCCCCTAAACCCATGGATTTTCGTAGCGGTTTGGGTTTGGGAGATTTTCAGGGGGCGTTCCTTGACACGGATACCCTTTAGCAGTGTGGGGCCATTTATCTATTTGGGTTACATTCTTCTCCGCGCGCATGCAGCGAATCCTCTTTGAGACACTCCTTTGAGCCTTTGACCACGCAACACGTCAAAATCAAATACGATTATTACCTGCGCGTGCGTTTTGAGACAAGGAAAGCCCTGCCTGATTCAGCCAAGTCGAACCATAGATAGATGAGGTCCGAACTCAACAACACACCCTGCCCTCGAGCATCTGTAAGAAGGGCTTGGAGTTCAGGAAATTACGATGTGCTGGCCGACCACCGCAGCTCACAGAAATAGTTACCACCTGACCCGGGAGGAAATCACCTTGTCCAAAAAAATCTTTAACCATC